TTGCTTGTTTGTAGGTGACCAAACACTTATTTTCCACCATTATTTGCAAAAAAATTCTTTAAAAYTCAGACAAAATGATTTTCTCAAACTTTTTTTCATATTTTGTCTCTCATAGTTGAGGTCTACCTATGATGTCAATTACAGGCCTCTCTCATTTTTTTAAGTGGGAGAACTTGCACAATTGGTGACTGACTAAATACTTATTTTCCCCACTGTATAGTAGAGAGAAGTTGTCAGAGTGTTGAAGAGTCTCTTCTCAGAGCAGAGAAGATGTGTTGTGGTTCAGCCCAAGGTCTTACTGAGGCCTGTGTGCTGTATTGTGAACCTGATTGGAGTCAGAAGATTGAAAATAAAGTTTTAAGAAGAAATCCAGCTGATTCCTGTTTATTCAGACACACCATTTTGAACAACACATATTTTTCTGACATTAGGTTACCTTTAATGTTCCAGTCTTCACATTATAAAAGTTGTGGATCTTTCATTACAGTCTGCTGCAGGTCTTACCCGTCATACCTTACAACGTGCTGAAAGTTTAAGGTCGTATTCTCACCTGATAGTCCAGTAGACTCAGCTCGATTTGGGACCAAAACTGCAAGCTTTGTTTACATTTTCTGTTGGTGCGGTTTGAATTCACACTGCACTCTCTCAACCGAACTAAACCCAGTAAACAACCTGTTCCTGCCCTCACCTGTGGGGGCGCTGCACAAAGAACCACTGAAGGAATCAACATGAAAACCTCAGAAGAAGACATGGAGCGCAACTTCCTTCTTCACAAAATGTAAACAAACTATAGTAACATAACATTTTGGTGGTTATTTGGTTTATTTTTTGTTTTTGGCAAATGTGCTAAACAAATAGTCTTCAACAATGAGCTCAGCATGAGAGGAAGATGAGGCYGAACCACGGAGATAATTGTTTTGCACACAAGARGGCTGAGGAAGCTCCATGTTAATCGAGTAGGAGCGCGTCCAACTCCAGAGACATGATGTCCACCTTATACAGTCGTCCAGTGAGGTATTTACACCYTATAAYTWAATTTATTACTGTTATTACTCAGAATGTCATGCGGTATAGTCCACTTCCTGCTTTTGGAGCAGTCTCTGGTCCGCTTGGCGTTCACACATGTAATCGAACCGCACCAGAGTTCGTTTCAATCGAACDGAGACCTAGGTTTTCAGGCGGACCAGAGTTCACTTTTTGGTCTGAACCAGAGTTCGATTACGTGTTCACACCTCCACAAACGAACCGGACTTTCCAGGCAAACAAACTAGAGTTTGATTAAATCGGACTAAACAGTGCAGGTGTGAATACGACCTTATTTTCAAACACATGAATAATCAGAGCTTCATCTATTGACTGGATTTGTCACTTTAAATATACTAATTGTACTTTTCTCTGTAAAAGTGAAAGCCTAACGTGTCGTTCTGAACACGGCCAGCAGTGTCCTTACTTCAAACTGAAGCGGTGTGTTGCAGCGGCTGGGGGGCAGCGAGGGCATCGGGGAATAGGCCAGGCCGTTGGGCAGTAGGAGGCCCTGAGGAAGCAGCGGGTGCAGGGAGTCCTCGGGGAGCGGCGGCGTGATTGGTGACAGGGGCCGGAGCAGGTGGTCCGAAGGCGCCGGTGTGGTCTCAGTCAAATACTTATGGTGACGCTTTTTAAACGGAGCATTGACCTCTGGTTTTACAAAGAGCAGATGTAGATCAACATCAACATGAAAAACCTAACACGCTTCATGAACTCACTGGTTTGGTCAGCTCATACCACTGCACAGGGGGTTGGGTGTGGACCTGCTGCTGGTGCTCTGCTGAGACGAGGTGGACTCTGTGCCGTCCTCCACACTGGCTGAGCAGCTCTCATCCTCCACCTGCTTGATCCACCTCTGCAGGAAGAAAAACAGTCAACAGTTGACAAAAGGCCTCAGAAATGTTTATTTACCATTAAGAAACCCCACGATCTAAGACTACAAGATGATTTTTATTTATAAAATTATCAATAATTCATTTCATCCTGACTAATTAAATCACAAACTTGAAATCTGAATGTGATTATTTTTCTTTGCCAGCTGCATTAGTGCTGCTTTTTATTTTGCTGTTCTTGTGATGCRTGCCTCGGGGATTCTCCTTTAGTAAACATATAACATGTGCCTGGAACTCGTGATGACATCACTCCAGACCAGTAGGTCTCAAACTGTAGGGCACACCCCAGTTTGGGGGGTGAATGGAAGAATTTCTTCAATGCATGTAAGACCTTTAATTTTATTTACGGATTTTAAAACCTAACCAGGCTCTCACTCTGCACACTAGCAACTGGTCTAAAGAACAGCAGAACCCAACATTGTTGTCCATTTCTCTGTTTCAAATAAAATTCCAACAACTAAAAGTTGTTCTTTTAAATCTTTGTGTTTGAAAGTGTAAAGGTTCAAACATCCCTAAATGAGGATTTGTTGGTTTGTTTCAGTTATTCTGTTACCTTCTTGTAGCAGCCGTAGGTGCCGTCCATCTGGAGTGGGCGGGGCCTGTGTCTCTCTGGGTTAAAGGGCGAGCCGAAGCGGACGTAGTGTCTGGGTGCTGTACAGATGAGCGAGGTGTGGGACAGGCCTGGAAGCATGTTGAGGGTGGTGGCCAGCACTGTGGGGTCAGTAGTTATTCGTAGTGGGCGCTCTACAGGAACGTCCTGGGGGAGCTTGTCCCCCCCTGGGTTTTTATCGTTCAGCCACTCAGTCACCAGGTACTGAAAGACAAACACATTTCATCAACAGCTCTGAGTAACAGACACATCTGTTGTTGGCGTGTCCAGTACGAACCTTCTTGGTCTTGGGGAAGCGCACGCTGCCTCTGTGGAGGCTGTTTGGACCCTGACCGTCTCCGTCCAGGAGATGTGACCCCGCTCCCAGGCTGCAGTCTCCATGTTCAGAACCATATGGGCCCTGAGACCCCTCGTCAGTCTGAGCAGCTCCCTGATCAGCTGATGCCTGTGCTGCAGCCATGGCTGCGGCAGCCGCCGCCGCCGCCGCCTGCTGGGCCAGAGCCTGGCGCTGCCGCCGGGCACGCTGGGATGAGCTGGACCGGTAGCGAGATATCCGACTTTTGGAGCGGGGCTTTGTAGGTCTCACAGGTTTTGGAGGGGCAGCCAAGGCAGGCAGGGTGGAGGGTGGGAACTTTTCTTCAACAGGTGGAGCCTCCTGGTAAATGATGTGCAAACAGGTAAACAAACAGGAAGCCATGCTGAAGCTACCTGATCCAAACACACAAAATCAGACGGACTCTGACCGTGACGTAGGAGGTCCGCCGTGTGCTGACCCCCACTCCAGTTACAGAGGGGGTCTCTGCTGGGTTTCCTGCAGCTTCCTCAGCCTCCACACCTTCATCCTTTAGTTCAGCTCCTCCAGCTCTCCTCCTCCTGTCCAGGCAGCTCACAGACTGAAGCACAAACAAGAGTCTGGGTCAGGAAACGTTTCAGTTTTCTTATCACTCTTCACCACAATTAATTCGTTATTTAAGCAGAAAAATCCCACTGAGATCACAGATCTATTTTAGAGGCCTGGACCTGAAGCCAGGGTAGTGTGCAGCTTTTTGCTCTGTGGGAGCTAACAGGGGTACCCGGAGAAAACCAATGCAAGCACAAGGAAAACACGTAAACTCCAACTCCACGCAGAAAGACCCCAGGTATGAACCACTGAGTTATCTGCTGCCAAGACCAGCTACTGCTGGCTGCCAAGACCAGCTACTGCTGGCTGCCACAGCTACTGCTGGCTGCCAGCTAATGCTGGCTGCCACAGCTAAGCAACAGTAGAAATCACAAACATGGCTTTAACTCTGTTTTACAGTTGCTAAAGCAAAAGTTTTCATTTTTAGTTTAGCATCGTACCAAGTGCTAACTGATGACTTGAAATGAGGAAAGTAAAGAATTATTGGAGCGAGTCAGTCAGTCAGTCAGTGAGTCGGTCAGTGAATCGGTGAACAAGTCAGTCAGTGAGTCAGCCAGTCAGTCAGTGAGTCGGCGAACAAGTCAGTCAGTCAGTCAGTCAGTCAGTCAGTCAGTCAGTCAGTCAGTCGGTGAACAAGTCAGTCAGTCAGTGAAAGTCAGCCAGTCAGTCAGCCAGTGAGTCAGCAGTCAGCCAGTGAGTCAGCAGTCAGCCAGTGAGTCAGCAGTCAGCCAGTGAGTCAGCAGTCAGCCAGTGAGTCAGCAGTCAGCCAGTGAG